TAAAACGTTAGAAAAAAAACGATTTTTTTAGAAAATCAAATATCAAATATCTATTCAAATGAATTGAAATTCCATTTTGAATCCTTTTATTCGCGAGGAGCTGGATGAGAAGAAACTCTCACGTCCAGTTCTGTAGTAGAGATGGAATGCCGAAACAACCATCCACTATAACCCCAAAAGAACTAGATTCCGTAAACAACATAGAGGAAGAATGAAGGGAATATCTTATCGAGGTAATCATATTTGTTTCGGTAAATATGCTCTTCAAGCACTTGAACCCGCTTGGATCACATCTAGACAAATCGAAGCAGGTCGGCGAGCAATGACACGAAATGCACGCCGTGGTGGCAAAATATGGGTCCGTATATTTCCAGATAAACCAGTTACGATAAGATCGGCTGAAACACGTATGGGTTCGGGGAAAGGAAACCCTGAATATTGGGTAGCTGTTGTTAAACCGGGACGAATATTATACGAAATGGGTGGAGTAACGGAAAATATAGCTAGAAGGGCTATTTTAATAGCAGCATCCAAAATGCCTATCCGAACTCAATTTATTTTTTCGGGGTCAAAGTAAAGAGAAAAATCTAGAACCGGCAGTAAAGAAGTCTTGAGATGAAACAAAACCGCGAGTTTATTTTTTGATTTTAGATAAACAATATTTCTTTTATTTTCTTCATCCTTTGCATTGAAAGAATAGCCTACAAAATTAATATGATTCAACCGCAAACCCATTTAAACGTAGCAGATAACAGCGGGGCTCGAGAATTGATGTGTATTCGAATTATAGGAGCTAGTAATCGTCGATATGCTCATATTGGTGACGTTATTGTTGCTGTGATCAAAGAAGCAGTACCAAAGATGTCCCTAGAAAAATCAGAAGTAATCAGAGCTGTAATTGTTCGTACCTGTAAAGAACTTAAACGTAACAACGGTATGATAATACGATATGATGACAATGCAGCAGTTGTGATTGATCAAGAAGGAAATCCAAAAGGAACTCGAATTTTTGGTGCAATCCCACAGGAATTGAGAGAATTCAATTTGACGAAAATAGTTTCATTAGCCCCCGAGATATTATAAAATAAAATGAGATCATGATATCTTTGAGTGAAAGA